GTTTTAAACACTTGCCACTGCAGAATCTGACTTTCCAACAGGTTCTGAAGATCACAAACTCTTTTGCTTGTGAACCATGCCGAGCCAGTCAACATTCTTGCTTTGAGCTACTTTTAGTTGACAAGTTAGTATAAAGGAAGGGAGAATATGAATTTAAAGTATGTTAACTATTCTTTGTTGAAAACTTAAAGTATTCCCCTTGCACCATGCGAATGAGCCATAAATTCTTTGGCCAACTGTGGTCATTTTGTTGGGTTGGGTTCAGGTTCAGTAGGTTCCCAGTGAAGTGGAATGGTAAGTACAGTGAAAAAGTTAAGAAAGGGTAAAACAGGATGCTAATCTGCATGATTATATGAGTAAATAAGATACAAGGGCAGTACTGTCCTTTGTGTTTATCTCAGTACTACTTTGTGTGTGTAAGATTTGGTTAGGTATTCAAAAAAAGAAATTATATATGTAGTCACTACTTCTGGTCTTAAGTTGCAATGGGAAACAGAGAAGTAAGAAGTTTGGTGTTCTACTAATCTGTAAAGTCCACCAAGCCCATTGAAAGATTAGTGTGAAACAACAGGGAAACTAACATTTTGTTTGAGCACGTAGGGTTTGGTCTGGCTATAAAAGGTTGTTCCTTTGTTAACAGAACATGAAAGACCTTTTATCTGCACACAGAGATAGTAGCAAACATAGATCAGCGAGGGTTATTGATACACTAACAAATTACAGTGAATCAAGAGATCCCATTTTAACGATTTTTTCAAAAAAATAGTTCCCCTAATTTTTTTTGTGTCAAACCTATGATTCTACTTATACCTATATTGCCTTTACCAGAGCAGGACCCGGTGTGGCTTGCTTTTGACACAACCTCTCTGTCTCCATGGTCACAGTAGGTGGCCATAATTCAACTGTGAGCCTTCACACAGTCGTAAAGACAGTCTGAGCTCACACGGCTGATAAATACCAACTGCCCTTTTAGTAGGCTATGCAAAAGGCCTTCTGCAAGATAATCCATGAGTAATCTGCCTCTTCAACATTAACCACGGGATGCTGCTGCGTGACAACATTCCTGGTCCACCTACACAGTGCCGAAGTCTGTGCTTGGTCAGGAGGGTGTGCAGAGACTTGTAATCGAGGTGAAGTCCATGACTTTGGGTCTGGCAGCACAGTTTGGCCGTATCCTAGGAATATGAAGGGCTTAACTTTCTCTCTCAATGTGCCTTTAGGCACACCTACAACCTACACATAGACAGGGCTGCATCGGTCATGAGGGAAATGAAAGTTTTGGTCAAGGCTTAAAATATGATGTTAATGCACCTCTGGAAAATTCCAGAATTAATAATTAACCTTGTTGTAAAGATAAGGCTCTTTGTACAGATCATTATAGAAAACATATTATGCATATATTACAGGGTAGGATATATATATCCTATATGGACAGATTAAATAAAAACTACTGCCTGTCTGCAGTCTGTTTCTTAGCTGGTGAAACAGTGACTTTCAATTCAAGCGTGAGGCAGATCATCTACACTAAAATTAGTGAAATGGAAAGCAGTGGCCCTCTGTCCTTGAATGCTACCTAAGATAGAACAGCTCCCTCCTCTGTTTCTAATTTTTCTCTAATTTTTCAAAGCTTGGTGCTTCTTCAATTCTGTTTCATAAATGATTGCATTCCATGTGAAAGTAACTTGGCTCCCCTAGTCACTATTGACAGTGAAGCTAGAGACTACTCTAGAGTTAATACAGCAGTTCCTATTAAAAAGTCTGCATTGAAGCAGGAAGTCACTCCTGTGGGAGGATTTGTTTTGGTAGTTTTAATGTAGAGCTACAAACCAGAACCATGTGAATGGTTAACCTGTATTAATCAACACTGATTTTCAAACATTTGTTAGAGGTGAATAACCTCTAGTTTCTGCACTAACAAAACTCTGTAGGTACACTTTCTTATAAAAGAAGAAACAAGTAGCATTAAAGAAGTTGCTGTGGGATAGCATTAGCTAAGCTGACACAAGTCCTTTTTAAACTGACAAAGAAGAAGTTGCACCTTTGTAAGAAGGTTAGTAAAATCGTGCATTTAGGTAACTGAGCGAATATAAAGCAATGGTGTATAGTCAGGGCTTATATCTAACAGAGCTTTGTATGGAGCTCTATCACCATAGTAAACACAGTCACTTACTTGAACCAGAAGCTTGACAATAGCTTAAATTGATTTGAAATAATTTCACCGAACACATAAAATCTCCTTCTGCAGGTGCTCTCTCATTTACAGCATCTTATGTAAAAATAAATTAAACCCCTTAACAACTTATGTTTGTATTAGTAAACAATCTCTGTATAACAATCATTTAAAGCTCTTCTGTACATAACAAGGGACAAACCTAAAGATATGTACATTAAAGGTGCTTTAGATGTAGGCACCCTCCAGTCATCTACCCAAAAGCATACTCACATCTCTCTTTATTGACATACTATATTAATAGACACCAAACCATGGTAGTTTCTGGGCCCACTGGGGGATGCGTACAGCTTATTAACCCCTTTCCCAGACCTGTGGTAACTGCAGATCAAATAATTTTTGCTGGTAGCAACTCACTGTTTCCTAGTTTTTTACTGGTATAATTAATAGCATTTTGTGAATTATGACCAAATGCACAGGTCTATTTCTCAGCTAAAGTGACTTGAGAGAGCATAAAAAGCAGAAACATCACGCTTTTCTATCTCCCTGCCAGCTATATTTTGTCATAAAGGTTAACATTTTGTCTTTGAATATATATAAGGATAATATAAATGGCATAAGAAAACTCAGTTTTTACATAACCCCACATCCAGTGTTTGTTTCTCCTGGTTTTTTGTTTTGTTGTTGGTTTTTTCCTGGGACTGCACTCTGACCTGTGTTAACTTTTTATCTGAATTGAAGCTGAGTGAAAAGTTACCTAAAGAAGTGAGAGCAAAGGTGACTTTCCCAGTGTGATATGAGCCCCTTATTATATGGTGCCTCTATCCTTGCAGTGGCTGTGCAGCTCCCTTTCAGACCAGGCTTCAGCCATCATCAGCAGTTTGCACTTCTAATAGCTTTGGAGATTTCAAAGGAGGAATGAATAGGTCATCTGTGTGACCTTTTGTACAGCACAACTCATAAAATGTCACCAAACTACTGGGTTAAGCATGTTTTCCATTTACTGACGGCTCTTATGACACTGAATGAGGATTAAATTGGCAAACTGTGCTGACTCATGTGGTTTCATGGAGCAACCCAAGAGAATGGAAATATGTCAGAGAGCAGGCAACACCTTTTCCTCATACTGGTGACAGTAAGATAACAAATCAAGTTAATCATAAACAAAAACCAAACAAGTAATGAAAGCTTCTCAGGTTGATATTTAGCTCTGCTGCAATAAACAGAAGTTCCTCTGACAGACGATTTTTACCTCAGGTAGTCAATTTACTGAGACATCCTTTATTTGTGAGCAGGAATCTCTGTTGACCTAAAGCCCTTCAGTTGCCTAGTTTGCACTAATGTAGCAAGTGCATGTTTCTGGTTTCAGTGTTTCCTGCATTTTTTGGGGAAACTGCTTGGGCCAGGAACTAACTTCTGATCTAACTTCTACATTTAACAGAAAGCTTTTAGTTTGTTTTCAAACTTGATGCAAAATATTGCTGCGTGTTTTAGAGAAATGCATTCACTTCAGATATTTGGATTAAATTGGTAGCCTGAAATGGACTGTGGATGTTGTCAGCTGCTCCTATTACTAAATCCTTGGAACTCTCCACAGGCCAAAGAGAAAGTACCCCCAGCAAACATTTTTTGTGTTTAAGCTAGACTAAATGAGACTAAGACAGTATTTTCCTTCACCTGCTCTCATCTTTATTGTTTTCTCTGTGACATTCAGAGTGCAAACCCAGTTAAGCAAGAACTCTTAGGGACCTTTTTTTTTGTGTGCCAAGCTCAACGGTGGCACTTTAAAACCAAAAGTGTATTGGTAACAGTTGTCTATAATTAAATGGGATACCAATCTCTTTAGTTAATTTCCAACCTCAAAGCATAGCTGTAGTGCTGGTGCTAATGCTAAAGCAGAACTGGTCTTTATTTGAAAATATCAACCAGACCTTATTGCAACTGAGAGCCCTCAATGGCATGTTTCCATGTTTGGTTAAGAAGAGAAGAGTGAAGAAAAGGAGGAGGTAATAATGCGATGTGTCTGATGAACACTTGTACAATGGTGGGGAGGAGGGAGACAGTATATGCAGCACTGACTCTTGATCTGGTTCATACCGGCTTTCAGAATTCTCCACATGTTAACAGAAGATTATGCTATCCGTTTCAAAAAGCAACAGTAAGAAAAGCTTCTTAACTTGACACAGTAGGGACTACTGTCTCAACAGCTGGATAATAGACAAATGCCTCTATGTAGCCCTTTAGCAACTTTTATCAAAGGAAGTAATGGGTGCTCGTTGGTTTTGGAAATGTTGCTTTCATCTCAATGGCATTTATGATGTCCAGCTTAAAATGAGAGAAAATGATTCTACTTTGAGCACTTCTGTTGCTCTGTTTATACTTGACCATCCTTAAATTTGTTCATTGTTGTTTTATTCATTATTGCTCAGGACATGTGAATAACATGTCATGCCCACACCTGCTGCACTCCTTTAACACCTTTTTCCCTATTGGTTCCTAATTTCTTTTGGAGGTTGATTTGAAAATGAATATGGAATATGGACTGCAGTTTTACAAAGACAAAAAATAAAAGCATATCTGAAATATTTTTGTTAATGCTGAAAGTTACTGTGGGACGGATGAATGAGAAGTATCTAGTGGGGTTATTTTCTTCAGTGAGACCAACCTAAACTTCCACATAATCTGGGCACTCTCAAGATAATGGAAAATCAGTGGTGTGTTAAAGAGAGATATTGAGATCTTAGGGACATAGGCATTTTGTGAAGGAAAAGCAAAATGTATAAAATGGAAAAGGCTGACGATCATAGAGAATAATTCCCACTGCTAATAATCACAACTCTGTGCGAAAAACAAGAGAGGTGTCAGCCATCTTCTTCTTATAATCTTCATCAAATTTCTTACTTTGTGCCACAGTGAAATAATTCTTCCAGTCTCCGACAACACCTAAGAAACAGCAAGGAAAAAAAAAGAAAAGGCATTACTTTACCAGTATTTCCTGAAGCCCATTAGCCATGGCTCGCTAGATACTTGCACTTCAAGGCTTGTTTCAAAACAGAATTACAGCTGGGAAGACAGAGTTGATGCCCCTAACAAATATCAGTACCTTTTCTCATGAATGGAGAAACGGAGTGATCCATTATTCCCTGAAACTCCTTAGTGTAGTTTGTCATGGGATTTTCCTTCATTGTCTCAAATGAGGTGTTATGAAGTATCTTGTTTAGGAGCTCCTGATTCACGTCCTTCTCTAGGAACTTCATAATCTTCTGAATTTCTTGCTTTGGATTCTGCAGAGAGAATACCATGGGGTAAGATACAGAGCTGGGAAAAGTGAAGAAATCAGTGTTGAAGTTAAAATTGTTGTCAAGGTGAGATGATCAGGTTATCTGAAGATTTACTGCTACAGCTGGCATTATAATAGAAAACTGTTGATCGTAGCTAGTATCTATTTGACTTCCAGATTTCAGAGCTCTATAAATATACATTCCACCTTTTACCTCCTTCATATCTTCATAGAAGAGGTAGAGAATACGGTGCTTATCTTTTGCCTTCCACCATCCTTTTACATGGTCATACCAGGAACCCCAGAGCACTGAAAAAGGAGTAACATCATCAGCAGCTATAAATGCCCAAATTCTCTTTAGGTGTCTATGACACTTGCGTTTCTCTCATAACCAGTATCTGGGCATTTCCCAGCTGGTTTTGAATCATGCGGCTGTGACTGCTGTACTCTGTGCTTATTATTTGTGCTATTAATCCCTCAGGGGTATGGGTGCTCAGAGCAGGATTCATGCACAACTTTAGAGGCCTACAAAGGCAGATACTTTCCTTACTCCTGAATGAAAAATCCAGGCTGCCTTTATGGTGGATGGAGAGAAACAGACATTTCCAGAGTGATCCATCTGTTCATCTAGACAAGATTGGTTTTAACTAGCCCAGCTTTGAGCAGGGAGTTGGACCAGATGGACACCAAAGGTCCCTTCCAAATTGCATTATTCTGTGATTCTAACTGGTTTAAATCTTTTATTATACTATCAAAAGTGCCTTTTTCTTTCCAGCACCTATCAAGGTGATAGCTTGAACAGAGGTAACTATGTTCTAGATGTCTGTACTGGGACAGATGGCTTCCAAGCTGAGCTCGTCAAACACAAGACACAAGGTTTCCTTTAGACATGAGACTCTTATGCTGGTCCAGACAGTAGTGTTTCTAGGCCTACATGGTAGCCAAAATATTAAGGACCTATGGAAGTCTTACTGACCAAAATTACAGAGTGCCATTAACCTGAGTTTTCTTTCTTGGATATGAGCACCTTTTTAAGAAAGGGGAGAATCAGCTTCTGGGGTTGCCTGTCTTTAGCTAGATAACTGGTTTTGTTCAGATGCCTGATTTTTATGCAGATAAATTTAGGTAAAAAGACTCTCTTAACTCAAATTCACACTGCATTTTTCTACACAAAATTAAACCATGTATTCTTGTATATCAGGCTGGAGTAAAACAAATTAAACCACTGCACTGTTCTTTCCCAGCTGCCTTCCAAGAAGGTTTCTTTTAATCTCAGGGACAAGAGATTAATCCTGAAAACTGTCACAATTTCTTCCTGAACTATAATAGAATAAAGAGTAGCTTTTTTTTTAATGGGAATGTAAAGATAGAATTAATCCTTTAGGTAGTAATAAAAACCTATGAATGAAGATAAATTACTACTGAAACACCTTTAGTAGATACCTTCCATATAATGTCAGCACTGGATTTCAAACCATAGGTGAAATAAATACATCAGTGACGTAATGCATTTTTTAAATTAACAAAAACTCTTATACAACTCATTGCAGTTCATCACCTTTTCCAGCCATGAATTTCTCCATGAACTCCTCCCAGGTCCCTGGCTCAGGCAGTCCCTTATTCATTCTGTGGAAATGGTAGTATGACACCAGGTTGTCTTTTGCATTTCTTGCCACATAGATTATCTGTATTGATATGAAAAGAAAGAGAGAGAAGTATTAACTTACACATGCTTATGTAGATACTGACCATCTTCTAGAGTTTTTTCTTGGAGTCTGATGACAGAGGCTTAGGAGATTTTGCTTCGAAGCTGCCAATTTCTGAAATCCAGTGCAGGTAACTTAGTAATGACTTCTCTAGTTTCACACTGGCTTTGCACATTAAAGGGAAAATACGTGGGAAGATCTTTAGGTTTCACAAAGATTCTGGAAATTATATTCGGTACTGGTTTTTGTCACTGTCTTTGCAAGTAAAGTAGAATTGAGTCCTACCTCTTCAGCCTTACCTTACAGTTTTGTTCCCAGAAGGAGGGAGGCACCAGCTGCACGGGGAGATGAGTTTTTATTGTTCGTGGAGAAGGCATAGCTTCAGCTAATTCCAGGCCTGTGGGATGTTTTGTTATGAGATTTGACATGTTCTCTAAAATGGACTAGCATTCTTTGCTATTGTCGTACATGTGATTTTGACTGTGTCTTTTCAGCAGTTCACCTTGCAACTCTCATTCATCTCCAAAGCAATTACATAGCAGTGTAACATAGACAACATTGCATAAGCATCTTCAGTGTTTCTAGAGAAATTTTAACCTATGTATTCAGGGAGGAAAAGGAGAACACTGATTCATGTCTTCTTGTTTTCTTGGGCCCATGGCTAACCCCTGCATTCCAAGGGGTAATAAGAAATACTAATTTATATTTACCCAACCAAAGTTTCACAATATTTAGTGGTCTCCTTTCACTTTGCAGGTAAGAAATTTTTATTTCTTTCTAGGGTATGAGAATAATAGACTGGCTGACTAGACTTTCTGGGTAACATGTAAAGAGAAACTAGGAGAACAATGGACAGTGGATTTTGGGTAGCTATGGTTATATGGGAATATCTGGTGATATATGGAGATGATGATAGAAATGACGAAACAGACAGATGATAGAAACATCTATCACGACCTCTATAATTTTTTTTCCTATCATCTTTTATCATCTTCTGTCATACTCTCAGATTTTTTTCTCTCTCTGTGTCAACACAGTCTATCTTAAAAGAGAAAAAGTAGCACTTCTACTGCAGTTAGTCAAGCTTTTTAGCTTCAAATATAAAGAGAGTCTGACTTAAATATTTGTGTGGAAAGGGAGCCCTTACTGGGGGAGGACTTTTGTAGGAAACTGTCTTTTCGAAACAGTCAGGCCTGCTGGTTGCCTGAATGCTCCATAGCTTGTTTAGATGACTAGACCCTAAAATTTAACAGCGCTTACTCAAAACAGTAGCAAAACCACTGAAAACATCCAGCTCCTGGGAATATACCATACATAGGTTTCTCTTCCATACAGCCCCTAATCAGAGAATGGGATTCAATTGCCCCGAAGTTGCCATTTTACACGTCTGCTGCTGTTTAAGGTACTGTGGAGGATCACCCACAGCTTTCAGATGCCACTCCAAAACAGCATGGTCTTCAGTAGTGCCTGAGTCACATCTACCAGCCTTGCATTGGCTTGAGTGGCACTAGATGTTTATGTTAAAGCAGTTCCTTATCCCTAATACCCAACATGGTGCATAGTTCAGTGACAAAGCCGAGGAAACCTGTGATATCAGCACTGGGGCTTGTTTTGTTTCATTTTGTCTAAAATACAAACCTAGTTTCATAATATTCACCTGAGTAACGCAGAGCTGCAGGCTCTGGCAGAAACCACTCAAGGAATGGATGGCGTCTGTAAGTAGTGGTGCGTCTACACTTCTCAACATCTCCATTTTGTTGAATCATATCCACTATCTCCTGCGTCCATGTGGTACCTGAAAAGGCCAGTGGTTAGAGGTTTCCCTCAGGGATAGCCAAGAGTCTCCCCTGCTAGGGAAGTGAAAGCCAGAAGGATGGACTCCGTATTAAATGAGGAAGGACAGCACAGAAGATGAAGGGAAAAGACAAGGTAATGGAGGAAAAATGCATAATTAGGAATACAAAGGTAGTTCCCAAAGCACAGTTTCAGGGATTCCATTTTAGACAGGCTGCTTCTTGCCAACAGAAGTAGCTGCCACCCCTATGCCAGTCATGAAAAAAAGCTCTGGAGTAAACTCACTATTATTTGGAGATTGTATTATTCACAGAAAGGAATGAAATTCCCTCCTTACAATTTTCATACCTCACAAAAATTCAGCTATTTCAACATTTGTTTTCATCCTGAATTTGAATGAAAAAATGGAATACCTGAACTTTGAGTGAGTAAAAATTTCTTACAGTTTGAAAATATAAAAAAGTTGCAGTATTTTCAACATTCCCTTTTGAAATTCTTTAATGAAGGTCAGTACAACACATCTGCCTGAGCTACTCCAACATCTTGTAAGAGTTCCAGTACTGTGTCTCTCATGTCCCTTTTTTCCCTTACAGCCATGATCACTGGGTTAACCGCATCTCCTCTGAGGTACTGTGGCTGATCAGCTAGAGAACAGACTAAGGGATAATTTGGAAAGCAATGTGGGCAGGAAACTCAGCCCTTCTTAAGATGCTTGAATTGTGCATCTCTGGCAGATACAACATAACATCAAATGGACTCCTAATTTTATTTCTTTTCAGTTCAATGGCTGAGAGGTTTTAATCCAGACTGGATAAAATTATCTGGTTTTGCTTTCAGTATACCGGAAATAAATTAAAAGCTTTTAGGTTTTACAAAAATAATGGAGATGGTTTTTGTAATATTTTTTTTCCCTACTGAAAAGAATACTTAAAAATTCTTGCTAATTCAAGTCTTTTTTTTTATGATCACCAAGTGTTACCAGATCTGTGCCTGAATCCCCTAAACTGCACATATTTTATTCATCCAGGATTAATATTGATGCTTGTTATTCACTGTTTTCCTGTATAGTAAGTATAGAGGGTCTGATCAAGAGAAGAAGTAGTAATCAGCTAAGTGGCCAATCATGAAATAAAATACCAGATAGCTAATATTAATGGTGGGTATTTTATTCTATTGGCTGAAATTATTAAGGGAATTTGGTTATTTCCTTAAAATTATTAACCCATTTCCAGGAATCAGTACTGGTTTACACACCAAGTCTCTAAATACAATCCATAGTTGTTCAGTCAGTTTCTATTATTTCTTAATAACTAGTCTTTGTTAAGTCATTATCTATTGTTGGAAAACTGCTATTGTTTCCATTAATTTATATGTATATTTTCTAAATCAAAGGAAACATTGTAGTATAGGTAATTAGACTCTGACCTTTTGAACTTTAAGAAGAAATAGTTGTTACTTCTGTCAAAGAAGTCAGAAGTTACAAGTCACAGCTGACAGAGCTTCATGTCTTTAAAATATGACTGGTTTGGGATTAAACAAATATCAGTCACAATAGAAACACATAATTTTCAATTCCAACAATAAGCATTATCCCAAACTTTTCAGTTTCCTACCCACACCAACCTGCTTTTGCATAGGTTGCAATGAGCAGATCATCAGGTCTGGCTTTGAACTTCCACACTTGGTCCCAAATGCTGCCTGTTGTTTCTGTGAGGGGAATACCTTCCAACTCACATAACTCAGGTCTGAGCACTGCCTCTTTCAGACTCAGATTTTCCATTTCATCCAGGGACACTGAACACTGCATGAAGAAAGTTAGACTTGAGATTAACATGATTGCTCTGAAAAAAAAAATCTAAATTTACTTATCCAATCTTGAGGTCTCTTTTATTGACTGAAATCCATGTCCTCTGATTTCTTTGGCTATTAGTTGGCCTATCTGGATTCATATATAGGCTCCTTAAAGCTGAATCTAATTTTCAGAAATGCTTGGTATATTGCTGTTGGTGGTTCTCAGCATCTCTAAAAAATCACTCTGTTTACTCAGATACAGAAATAGAAAAAAAGCCATTATTCCCATCTTTAAACATTTTACAATATTTATGTAAAATTCTGACTGTAAGTATGTGGTCTTTGAAAGGCACAAAAAAGTAACGACAAGTGTGATTCAAAAGAAGGCAGAGCATAACAGCTCCCACTGAAGTCAACATACAGGACCCAACCCTTCCTTCTTAAAATAAACAGAAACACCTGCTAGCACCCTTTGGGCCTCATACTCACAAAAATATTTGCAAAGCTTTTCCATGTTTCATTCCTGGAGCTTCTCACTCTTAGAGCTCTTTGCTGTACGTTGAAATTTGTTGCAGTTAAGTAATAGCCTACACTAGGTAGGTTATTAACTTACAGTTGTTAGACTTTAATTATTTAAATTGATCTAGTTAAGTCTACTGCCTATTGTACAGTTTTACAGTAACTAATTATTGATTTCTGGATTTCTCTCAAGGCCTCTTCTTAGCCATAACCTTCAGAGCTCCAGAATCTGGTCAGAGGAAAGTTCTGCTTAAGGAGAGACTACAGAAATAATCTCAATTAAAAATAC